ATTTATTACGAATATGATTTATTACGTATATAATTTATTACGTATATTCTAGCGGAAATTTTCCGATTGATAAAAAATTGTGTCGGAATTTGTCAGTCATAACCGGAATTTCCGGCATTTTACAATACAATTTTGTGCTCTGATCCAGACCATTGGTTCGGGTTCAAAAATAATTACCCATATAGTTATAAATAAACAGTAAAAGTAAATTTGTAATTATATTAATTTTGTGACTATAGAGGAGGTGACTATAGAGAGGGTTGACTGTACTATATATTCATATATACAAACATTAATTCATAATGCAATTGAGTTTCGGATAAGGTTTCGGGTCGGACAAAGTTTCGGACAATGTAATCAACTTAGTGTAACAAGTAGAATAGCGAGTAACTCGTGATTTACACGGGGGTAAATATTTACTTTGAACACGACGTGAAAGATTTGTATTATGATGTTAATAAATACTTATCGATACTTATCGTTATAAATTTTTGAAATATCGAGAAATCGTAATGAATATTTGCTGCGGAGAATCACGTTTTTTAAATATAAATATGATCTACATCCGTGGTGTGCAGTACGTGGTTTGGATCTTAAAAAATCACCGAATCCTTCTTTCATTTACATTGAGCAAATTAAGTATACTTAACTTCGTTAATAAAGATTGAGGCAAGGACTTCAACTTGAAAATAGAATTTGATTCGTAAGCATTAAACGGATCCATAGCAGTGAATACTTTGCGTATCTTTTACCTATCGAAAATGGCAAAGACTTGTAGAAGTCTCGAGTGTGCTATTTGTTGTGATAAAACAGATAATATATTGAATATGACAACTCAATGTGCTCATGAACCATCTACCTGTCAAGATTGTATTAATAAATATGTGAACATTCAATTAATTCGAAAAAACACATTGATCAAATGCCTTGTTGATGAATGTGATAATACGATGGAATATCAAGATGTTCAACGTGTTGTTTCTCGAGAACTTTTTCGAAAGTAATTTGATATTTTTATAATCTTATCGTTGCAAAATTCTCTGAAATCGTCTTAATAGTGTTAAATTATCTTATAGATTTGATGATGTTTGTTTAAGACTTGCTCTTCAATCAGATCCTGGTTTTCGCTGGTGTCAAGGTGGATCCGAATGTGTATCCGGACAAATTCATATTGGAGGAGGCAAGCTTATTATATCTGAGATTGATTTTTTAAAACGTAATTTAACATTAATATATTTATGTATTTAATCCTTAAAACAGATCAGGCTCCCAAGATGATTTGCGAATGCTGTGGAAAAGCAACTTGCTTCACGCATAATTCGCCTTGGCATGAAGGTTTAACTTGTCAAGAATATGATATTAAAATTGGTAAGATTGATACAGAATCCCAAATTTATCTAGAAAAAAACACTAAGTCTTGCCCAAAATGTGGAATTCATATTCAAAAAATTGATGGGTGCGATCATGTAAAATGTAAAATTGAGAGTTGTCTTATGGAATTTTGTTGGTTGTGAGTATTTTTATTTTCTTAAGACAAAATGTCTTTAGGAAAAATTACTATTATTATTATTTCTGAAGATGCTTAGGAGACTGGCAAAGAGGGGAACATTTAAGAACTTGTGCATTATACGAAGGGGTTGAAATTGTCGTATCTGATTCATCTGAAGACGAAAATGAAACCTATGGTGATGATGATATTTCAACATTAGATTCGGAAGAAGAAGATACTGAATCATCTGAGGAATTGCCACGAGGTTATTTTGATGATACATCTGAGGAAGAACATGCCATTACAACAAATGAAACAAATTCTTTAGATGGTCTTACTTCTGATTCATCTGATTCATCCGATGAAGAACTAACATCTGATGAAAACGATACATCTGAAGAATCGGCATTATCTGAAAAATCAATTTCATTTGAAGAATCAACGTCACCCGTACACTCGATTTCATTTGAAGAATCAACATCCGAAAATTCAACTTCATTTGAAGAATCGACGTCATCTGAAGAAGATACGTGTTCAGTGAATTACTCTACTTCTGAAGATTCTCAAAACTCATCCGATTAATTTTGTTATAATGAGCATACTCATACAACATCGTTTTGATTCTTTACATAACTTGATTTACATTTACCAATTAAATAGGTTAGTTTTAATAGTTGTAGATATTGCATATACGTTACTTAAGCGTTGACCATTCAATTTTAATGCTGGACTTTGAATTTTAATGCTATTGGTTTAACTTTTTGTGAATCATTATATACACTCTCATTCTTCATAAAATCAAACTTTTAATTAAATTTATAAAAACGTTATTAAAGATTTTATTCATTCTTGAAAAATTTGCAAATTTATTGAGAATTTAAGTTTTCACTGTAAAAAATTTTAAATCAAAAAAATGTAATTGAAATGCTTTACAATTAATGTTCTAATCTTTTCGACACTATTGATTATTTGGTAATATTTTAGAGTACGTGTATGATATTGTTTTTGTGTTCACAGACGCGTTATCAATTTTACGGAGGTTAAGTACGGTGCAGTGTTGCTACTGGAGCCCACCGAAAGTCCACTGGAAACTACTAGAAGCCAACTAAAAGCCAATGGAACTATTACTAATTAAAAATCCCATTGGAAGATTACAAAATCCCGCTGGGAAGTAAAAACTCGCAACATAGTTGTAAATTTAAATTTACGCTTACAGGGTTTAATTTGGCGGAACTCAAATTTAGCCCTTTCATTAGATAATTTTAATGGACATTTGTAAATAATGAATTATTTGATTATGCTAAATCCGCTATTCAGTAATTATAATAAAATCGTAGGTTATGATTTTAAACCTATATAAACCTTTAAAATTATTTTTTGTAAAGGTTAGTAGATTTATAAGCTTTGTATAAGACGAATGATGGGCCGCCTTATCAATTTAATGATAGGTTAGTACTTTCATGTTTAAAACAGATGGATAAATTTGCCATATGTTAAATAAACATTGATCGACGTTTTACAACCCATTTATCAAATATTTGATTTTTTTAATTTAAAAAGAAAAAAAAAGTTCGAATCAACGAATTAAAGAAAGGAAAAAACAAAAAAGCTAAATTATTAAAAGGAAAAAAATGGTTCAAATAAAAACCCTTATTTTTCGCTGTTATCTGTTTTCACTTCCACTTTTAAATTGCTATCATCATCACTACCTGCTTGATCATCTATACCCCCATTTTCGCCAATCTTTTCAACTATCCAACTATGTAAACACAAAAGTGATCGGGCAATCTCTGGATTCAGCTTACCGCGTGATTTATAAACAGTTGAACTAGAAATAGAAAAGGCTTGTTCGCAAGGGATACTTGATGCCTGAATCGTGAGATAGTCTCGCGCCATCGCTGCAAGCACCGGAAACTTCTTTTTGTGCGCTTTCCACCATAACAAGGGCTCACAATCCTCACCATTAGGCAAAGAAAGGTATTGCTCTAATTCGTTGCTCGTGATAGGTTGTGTAGTTGGAAGGAATTGATTTGTAAGAGATCGGAGATGTGCACGAGCATCGATTCTATTAAATGTCGTTGGAGAATGATATGATGATAAGAGTGTTGGATCTGATGCGGATGTAATGATAGAATTAGAATTGTCAGAAATGTCTAAAGAAGAAGGTGTGTAAGAAGCCATCCTAGCCCGAATAGAATTTATAATGTTATCAGTTTCTGATCCTTGTTGAAAAATGGAACATTTTGTACGCGGATCCAACACAGATGCAATTTTTGAAGTCTCATCGATAATTGACCAATATTCGCCCAGAGTACGAAGTATAGAATCAGCCACAGTATACCGAGTAGCATTGACTGATATTTCATGCTGTAAATGTTGTCTCAAAATCCAAAAAGTAAGTTGAAGGTCACCCATTGTTGGATATACAGATGAAGAAAGCGTTAAAGTAGCAGAATAAAATGGGGATAAGACAGTAAGCAATTCCTGGATAAATTTAAATAACAATTGATAGATAAGTAAACATCAATATTAATATTGTATATAAAACCGTAAATATAAAAGATTATGTATTATTATAAATAAAATTATTTACGTTTATATTTAACCAGTCATCTTCATCAGGGTATGAATCATTAAATTCATCCTGATGTTGTAAAACAAGTAGGTTCGCTTGTATTTGTATTTGTTTCACCTTTTCAATCATCAAGTACGTTGATCTCCACTGAGATTCATGATCGATTTGTGGAATAGAAAATGGTATGTTCTGATCTTCGAATATACGACGTAAATCCTCCATCAATAGATTAGAGCTCCTGACTTTGTTAATAAATTTTCGAACTTTTTCAATTGAATTATTATGAACTTGAAGTCCATACTGTACAGCATTATTAAGAATGTGAGAACCACAGCGATAGTGCGAAAATCCTAAATTATCGAATTCTTTATTCATTTCTAATTCCATTTCATGACCAAAAACAATGGTAGACGGAGCATTATTTGTTGTCAATGCTAATATTTTTGAGGAAAGATCCAATTCAGTTAATAAATTGGATAAAGACTGAGCAAGATTTGCACCAGAATGAGAGTCATGGAATGGGATTATATCTAATAAGAAGCGTTTAAATGTCCAGTCATCATCAATGTAATGAAGAGTGACACCAAAAAATGCGCACTGATTGTTATCCAAAGTCCACAAATCACCAGTCAAAGATATCCTACTCTTAATATTTTCTAGATCATGATGTAATCTTTCACGACGATTTTGAAACCTTTTAATCACATGGGATTTTATATACTGCTTTCGTGGCACATGATAATGTGGATCAAATTTTTTTATCATTTCGATAAAAGACTCATCCTCGACCACAGAAAAGGGCTGCATTGTTGAAACTATCCAATTAATCAAAGATCTGCTTCGTTCAAAATTGTCTTGTCGAGTATACGGTGCTACTCTTCGAAAATTTAAAGTTGTTCGGGTTTTTCGTTCAAAGTCAGTCTGTTGAGCACCTCGTTCAAATTCGGATTGATGATTCCTTCGTAGGTGAGTTTTTAAGGTACCAGTGGAGGTTTCACCAATTCCAGCATACATTTTTTTACATATTTTACAAGTTTGAGATTCTTTTGTTCGTTCAAAAAACTCGTCCATGGGAGATTTTGCATTATTTTTTCTCCTTATGGGACCTCCGCTTGATTGTTGAGGTTCTTCTGGATTTGAACCCACCTCAGACGGTTCAGGTTTATTGAGGAACTCTTGGCCGTTCGAACCATTGAAATTAAAAGAGTTATCTTCATTCTGTTCACTCTTTAGGTCAGACATTATGACTAGAATACTGAAGAGAAAAAGATTTGATATCGATATGTAACTGATTAAATATCGATATGTATAGTGCTTCATTTAGTAGTATATTTGTAACCGGTTCCAGCCGATTGTCATACAACCAGTTCAGATTTAACGGTTGATCGTCCAGAAAGATATTGTCATTAGCCAGCTTAGTATAATATTTTTCGTTTGTCTTCTTGTAAAAAAAAAAAAAAAGAGATAGAGACAAAACATGTTTTTAATATTGTGAGCAAGCTATTATTTCGTTAATTACAAAATAAACTTTGAATATTTCGAACCACCTATGCCACTTCAGCAAATATTTCCGTTAGCTTATAAGTATAAGGTTGAAAATTGTAATAACTAAGTGTGAAGAAGATATTGAAATTGGTTTGTATTTTATTCATAATAATTCAAAATTTATTTAATAATTACATAGCGATAAAGATCAAATAAGCATATAATACCTGTTGAAAAGTTTTTTAAACGTATCGTTGGTGATCTTAACTAACTTCTTAACAGCGTGGAATATTTCGCAAAAGGATACAATATTTAACGATGGGCAAGTTAGTGCCTTATTATTTCAATAAGATTCCTTATCAAAGTCGAAGCAGGTCAAAAATTAGAATTCGGCTTCATCAATTTAAAAAAAAATTGTGTACAGAAAGAAAAGAAAATATTTATCTAAGATGAAGAAGTATAATAAAAGATTAATCACAAAAAGAGTGCAATCAACTCTTTTTATAAAGAAAAGATTTTGGAAGAAAAAAAGTTCGTTATAGAAAATTACTATTTTATTAAAAACACATGGCACTTTTTATACCGAACAAATTCCAAAATTTTGAGTTCATTATATCCAGAGTCGACTGTACATAATTTAGTGAAAAACGTCACAAAAAAACAAACCAAATGGGATTTTTGCTAGAAAAATACCCCTCTGAGGTTATGTTGATTTTGTGAATAAAAATTAAATTTGCCAACCATCTAGTTGTCCAATTTGAATAAACCTTTCTTTATTTTGTAAAACTAAATAAGCTTTACAAAATAAAAACAAAAAAAAATCATTCAAATTGGATGCCTAGACAGCCGGCATATTTAATTTCTATTCACAAAATCAATATAACCTTGAAGGGTTATTTTTTTAGCAAAAATCCCAAATGGTTAAATAAACTAAAACCAAGTGATTAAATCGAAATAAACTAAACTAAAGTTATATTTTTAGAATTTCAAACTTCAAATTATTTGCATTATTTCTGTGTTGTATATACGTACACTGTAAATTGCGTTAAAATATTGCTTTATATATATGATCGTTATTTAATTGAAAAATAAAGTCTTATCGTTAGATCGAAGACTTAATTTCCGGACCATAATCCGGACTATCATCCGAATGATCATCCGGGTACGTTAAAGTTAGCTGTGACTCAATAAAGTTTCTAGAGGTGCAGGCGAATCGTCCCAATGATTGCCGTGACTTTGCCGTAACGTGCCGTAACTATCTCTGTAACTATAAAATAATTACAGGTTACCCTTGTTAATATCAACCTATTTGAATTGGTTTTAAATCATGTTGAAGTGATATTAATGAGAAATCATATTAAAGTTGATATATATGAGGGAATTTTGATATATAAAAATTTATAAAAATTTGTCTTGTGATATTAACGAGGTTGATATTAACGGGGATCACCTGTATAATGAGCTACGGCATGTTTACCGTAACTCATTGTAATTATTTATAGTTACAGAGATAGTTACGGCACGTTACGGCAAGTTACGGCAATCATTGGGACGATTTGCCTGCACCTCTTAGTATATACAATCAAAAAGCTTATTCGTCAAGGAATATTAGCATTGGAGCTCAGCTCAAACTGAATCAAAACCAACTTTCAACGTGTTAGCGTCAAATATGTTATCACCATAATCGAAAATGATTTGACTAACTGAATTCTGAACAATTTATCACCAAATTTGTAACTATTTTCACATAATGTAAAATGTTTAAGTTTCGGTTTGGCCAAAAGTCGTAAGCAAGTATCGGTACGTATAGTGAATTTTTTAGAATTAGTAAAGGTTGTCCCTTGTTGTTATTGTGTTAATTCCTATTATATTAGCATGTTTTTTAATCCTCATAAAATGCGTTCACTCGATTTTTTATTGTCTTTTCCCGATCTAGTACATGTACATGAACACGGCAAAGAATAAAAGTGCAAATAGCGGAACAAACAAAAGAAAGCCCTGTAAAAACTGATACAATATAGAGCAATTTTTCTGTGCCAGAAGTATGTTCTGGCGGATTAGTTGAGGGGCTAGTGCTAGTTAGGGGACTAGTGCTAGTTGGAGGATTAGTGCTAGTTGGGGAAACACCGGTGCTAACTGGGGGGGTAGTAGTGGTGCCAGATAGGGGAGCAGAGGTAGCCGCAGCTTCAGTAGGCGTAGCTGGGGGATTATTAGCTGGGGGATTATTAGCTGGTGGATTATTAGCTGGGGGATTATTAGCTGGTGGATTATTAGCTGGTGGATTATTAGCAGGAGGATTATTAGCTGGGGGATTATTATCTGGATCTGGGGGATTAGTAGTATCTGGGGGATTATTAGCTGGTGGATTATTAGCTGGGGGATTATTAGCTGGTGGATTATTAGCTGGTGGATTATTAGCTGGGGGATTATTAGCTGGGGGATTATTAGCTGGGGGATTATTAGGTGGAGGGGGAGCTACATTGTAAGTAGAAATGCAGAGGGTAGAAGAAAATTTCGTAGAATAAAATGTAGTGGTTTTGCTATAAAAAGTAGAGATTGCCAAGGTAATATTCTCATAAGTGGGGAGTTGGGTTTTGCTAGGGTTAGTATTAGTAACTTTATGTGTTTGGAAAGTAGAAACAGTGGAATGAAGAGCAGTGGTTTTCGTTTTAGAAGGAAGGGAACCGACAAAACTGAAATAAGTAATTAGAAACAGTCCCGCCGTAAAGAAAATTAAAGATGTAATTAAACAGCAATATAAAGCTTCTTTATTAATATTCATCATATATATATGTATATTTATTTATTTATTCTCTTTTTTCTTTTAAATTTAAATTTTGAGTTTCTAAACGTATTTTCCGTTTTAATAGCCAGAAGAACAAGTATAGATAATTTGGTTTTGGTGTGTGATCTAAGTACCAATTGTAACCCATTAGCGTTAGTCATAGAAATCTACTTTTTTTGGTCATTGCTACCTTACTAGAGCTGTATTACAATCTTTGGTACAAGTGACTCTTAACATAAGAAAGTTACCCAAATATTTCTTATATCGAGATTTTCTATATCGAAGGCTTTTTATTATAAAATTTTCAATTGGGTCTTATAAAATCTTATACCAAAGAATTTCTTATATCGAAGGTTTCTTATATCGAAAGTTCCTGTATATTACTTATGCATCATCTATTTAACCCAAACCAAGATATATATCGATATAAATTGTAAATTACCGTAATTTCCGGTAAGTTACCTAACATTTGGGTAAGTTACCAACCAAACTCATTTATGCGATATTAAATAATAAAATGTATAGGTTTTTAGAGTCTGAAACTTACAAGGAACCTTTAGAGTTGTAAATAGTAAAATATTGGCCTTCTTAATCAGAGAATCTTGGGTTCAGAATTATAGAATTATTTCGCATAATTCATACACACTTTCAACAATCTAAAAGTTGATTTTTTTTTTTTGTTTTACAAGTGAAACGGATGGATGTCTTCATTGTCTTAATAAAGTAAATTAATGATTAAGGTTTACAATATTAACAATGACAAACCACATTACCAAATGACGTGAGTAGCGAAATTTTTTATTTAGCTACCCAGTAAGATCGACAAATATGTAGTACGGGACAGGATCGTTTTTTTACATGCGTAGTAAATTTTAAATTGCTATAGCTTTTACTTTTTTAAAACAGGTCAGTTTGTAGTTTTTTATCTTAACAACCAATCTGAAAGAGGAATTTCTAATTTTTAATTTTCAAAAAGTTATAACAGTTTAAAAAACATACACACTTTTAAAATTTGGCGTTTATTATTATAAAAATTTTTTAAAATTTGTGCGCTTTTACGTATTTCTTAACTGATCGACACCGTTCTTATATGTAAAATTGCATCCCTGACATTTTTTATTAGTGCATCAATATAGGTTTAGACAACAACGCCAGGGTGTAGGATCGATTTTACTGTCACATGATTTTCCGACGTCTATCAGCCAATCAAAGATCAGGATC